CCAGTTCTGTACAAATAAATAAATAAATCTTTAAAAAAAAAATTTCTTTTTGAAACAAGAGCACAACCTATGCCCCTTTGCTTGGACAGAGTAATGTTAATGAGAAGCAGTGAGAAATTCAACATGTATTTGAGTTCTGTTGTGCTTCCATTTCAAAAAGAATGGTTATCAGACTAAAAAGGGTCCCTCAGGCTCTGATAAGAGAATTGAAGCCTTGATTTCAGATCTGGTCCACATGTGACCCAGAATACCAGGTTAATTGGCAAATGAGACTTACGAAGCTAGTGTCAGTAATCTTCGAGGGAGCGGGAGGGAGGTGTTGGCAGACTGAAAGCACTAAAAAGTTCCAAGATGCCAAGAGTATCTTGCACCCTCTAGATTAGTGAACTTGGTATCGACTCTAGGAAAATTCTGTACTAGATTATTCAGCAAGTAAACTGTGAACACTTTTTTTATTCTTTTTATATATTTTTGTGTAGAAGGGCTGGGGTATGAGCCAGAGGTACAGGGGATAAGAGGAGTCACCAAAGACAGTGGGGAGCAGAACAGGCAGATTTACTGAAATACACTGCTGAGGGGAGCAGTATGTGAGACAGGAGAGGTCTGCTGTGCCATGTGGGTCAGCTCCCTGGCCAGGGGTTGAACTCAGGCTGTACAAGTGATAGCACTGAGACCTAATCCCTAGGCCATCAGGGAGCTGTGAACTCTTTTTTTTTTTTTTTTTGAGGTTTATATTTATTTATACATATGAGAACTGGGGTGTAGGTTAGAAGTGTGGTGGGCGGTGAGAGGATTCACCAGAGACAGAGTGGGGAGCTGAACAGACAGGAGAGGTCTGTTATGCCATGTGGGTCAGCTCCCTGGTGGGCTGGGGATCGAACCAGGGCTGCAGTGGCTGGCAATAGTTTGATAGTGCTGTCTTTAACTCCTGTGCCACAGGGAGGCCCCCAGCTGTGAACTCTTTAAGGGAAACAGCATAGATTCACAGTCAGGCATAGCAGGTCTTCCTTTTTACAAAGAGTTAACCTATTTCTACCTAGTAGATAAAAAAGTGCTGTACATGGGTGGGGTTTAGCACATTTTCAGAATTTTAAGAATATCGTCTGACATCATGGTTGGCAAGACAAAAATGTTTACAGAGCATCCAGAGTGAGCAGATGAAATGGTTGGGTTGACTTAGGATTGTTTAGATGAACATACCCAAAGATGTCAGCCACTCTGACTGGCCCTATCCAGTTCACTGTTCACTCAAAGCCTGGGATGAGAATAAATGGCAAATTCATCAGTTTTGTCAGTGAGGTAAAGTCAGAAGGGAATGCCAATATGATGGATGCCAGACTCAGGTTTCCGAAATATCCGGCCTGCTTGAAACATTAGCCAGATAATGCAGTTCTGCTCTTAGCTCCAAATAATCCATAGTCTGTACAAGATGGGAAAAGGCTGTCTTAAGTACAACCTATCAGGAAAAGCCTGAGGGCAGTTTCATTGACAGAGAGTATGTGGTATGAGTTGGGAGTATAATGAAGTCACAAAAAATAGACGATTTGATGACAATTTTAATAGAAATGAAGTATCCCAAAGAAAGCTCACAATCCTCTGAGATCTGCACTGGTCCCACCACCACTGCACATGACACTTCACTTCCGGACATGACACTCCGGCTTTGACAAGCTGAGTGAATCCAGGGGAGTGACGTGGACGGATGGAAGGCTTTAGAACCTTGACCTCAGAACATAGGTGCAAGTCAGGACCACAATACTGGAAAAGACAAACTATTGAGCTGTGAGAATAGCCGCGGTGGTTTGAAAGCCTGCCGTGGGAGGATGTGTTTCACTATTTGTGGGTGACTTGCACACCCTGCCAGTGCTGCCCCCAGCGGAACACTGGCCTCATAGTTTGGCTTTGCCCTGTAATTGGGCCTTCCTGGAGTCCTAGGAGTTGACCAAGGCCTGCAGTTTCGGCTGAGGAAGTCAGGAGCCATTTCAGGCCCCATCTCAGAAGCCCTCCTGTCCCATCTCAGAACTCAGGAGTGGGGTGACTGAGGCACTGGCCCACAGGAGTCAGATTAGGGGCACAGGGTAAAGGCAAATTAGTTTCTATTAAGCTATCACCAGTTTTATAGGACAGAGACTTCTAGGGGCAGACAACTAACATCCTTTTAATGTATTCTAGATACATTCTGATCACCTACTATATCCCAGCTACTGTTAGATGCTTTTGTATGGGTCATCTTATTTAGTCTTTTGAATAAAAGGGCATTGTTATTTATTCTCATCAGAGGGATGTGGAAGCCTAGAGGTTAAGTCATTTTCCCAAGGTCATATAGCACTTGAACCCAGAACCTATGCTGGAAGCCTTTCTCCCTCCTAGAGTAACAGTTCATCCTTCTTCCCTGGCTTCGTGCTCTCAGCAGTCCCCAGCAGGTATGTCCTATGCCTTCCTGGGAGCGCTTCTTCCTTTCAATCCCTAAAATTCCTCATCCCCTCCACTGGGAACAGGGAGAAAACAGCCCAGCTGAAAAATTAGGCCACGCTGGCAAGCACACTACTTATTTTTTTATGACTAAGATTAAGCTGACAGCCATGCAAAACATTGCAAACCTGTGTCGGCTACAGATTTAATACCTCACCCAGCCCACACCAATAATTCATGCTTCTGCATCGATGTCCAGAAAAAACAAATCAGCAAAAATCTGGGCTCCTGTGTGTGTGTGTGTGGAGCAGCCGTTCCCATTGAAGCAGCTTGCCGGAAATACCCAGGCTCCAGGACTGCAGATCTAGCATTTTGCAATTTTTTTTCTTTGAAAAGATTAAAGTACATTTTCAAATGATTGAAGGTTGGTGGGAGGTGTAAATGTGGGCACTTGTCACATTAATTCTTCAGATGATTAAGTTCTTTTCCATTTCTTTTAAAGCTGTTTGCAGTGGGTTTGATGTCCTCGTTCCGGGTGAGTGTGTTGTAGCAGTTACCAAGGTGACTTTAGCTGACTTTCAACAATTTATTTTTCCCTCCAGCTTGAGAAGTCTCTCTCTAGCTCTGTGTGCTGTTGATTCTTCTTTCCCAGCTCCCTGCCCCCACCTCTAGTTGCTATTCATCAGCATTTTTGCCTTTGCCAGAGAGGCAGGGATCCTCTAGCCGGCTTTGCAAACTTTGAGGCCCTTTCTGGGCAGGCCAGGCCTCAAGACCCTTTTCCAGAACATGGTGCCATGTCTCTGTGGATCACATGGGACATGAACAGGTGACACAGGGTCACTCCCTGGCTCTTCCACTTCGGTTTATACACTCCTGTGCAAGTCTCCGTTTCCTCAGCTAACCATAAAACCTACTGGGGCTTGCTGTGGGCGTTCAGCAAGTGACTTGATGGAACAGCGGAAGGCTTCACCACGCAGAGCTGCTGCCTTTCCTGGGTGCTGCTCCTGCTGCGAGGTGGTGTTTGGTGTTTCCCTCTGGGGTGTGAGGGGAGGAGAATTGGTCACATGTTCTAGGCTCCCATGTTGGCCTACCATAGACGAGCTCTGTGGCCCTGGACACATTACCAGGTTCTCTTCTGTCAAGGGAAGAGGTAGATTTAACCATCTCAGTGTCCTCCCAGTCCTGAAATTCCATGGCCCTCTTAGCCATAGTGTTTGTCTCCTTCACAGGTCTTGTGAAAGTGTTTTTCAGAGGAGAAGCTAGGGCAAAGGGCAGTTTCATAAGTGGCTTTAGGACTCCAAAGCTAGGGACTGTTTTGTGAAAGAGCAGTAAACTCTGGAGCAGACCCCTCAGCCGGTAGGAATGGCTCTTTCATCAGCACTGCTCTGTGTCGCCATCCTTTTGCCCATTGTCCTCACTCCCTCCCTCTGTGGAACTTCTTCACCTGTCAGAGGCCTCACTGACCATGGGCCTCCGCACTCAGCCCCACAGTGTGTGAGGTGCTCAAGCCTACTCTTTACTCGCTGTCTGGCTCTCCGGCCCAGACATCCTGGTACTTGAATGATAAGTAACTAGAACTTCTCACCCATTATCTTGATGGCCACATGGGGAATTGTTCTGAGACTCACAGTCCAAACCAGCGTCCAGCCTTTTGAATGGGACCCAGTGGGTTGCCCTTACTCGTGGCACAGGCATATTTGAGAGCTTGTCAGTGGGGGCAGCTGAATTTGAAAGAGCAAATCTCAGGTTGTAAAGTGACCAGTGGCCCAGCTGTAGTACAAACTACTGGTGGGAGACAAGACGGGAGGGAATGTGAGGCACAGTGACAGTTCTGTCCAAGGGCACAGTCTGGAGGAATCTGGTCTGGGGCGCCTGGGGCCATGAAGCCCTGCAGGCTGGGCCTGGTTCTGCTGCCCAGCAGGCCCAGTGGTCTGACTTCCACAGGCCTGGTTCCTGCCTCCTCACTGAAGGTTGTGCCACTCCCTGTTTAGATGAAGTGTGTGTCCTGCAGCTCCCGGTCATCCACAGGGGTGTGTCTGCTCATCACTGCTCTGATGTCAGAGACTTTTCAGTCAGCTGGGAGGAAGCTCTCAGAGCCGCCCCTCCTAGGCTGTATCCTCCAACACTCTACTCTTGAAGAACGAAGGTCTGGGGCTGCAGGGCCAGGGAAGGAGCGCTCCCAGAAGCGCCTGCTGCTCTCATAAAGAAGAGCAAGTCACGTGACATGAACTTTTGTATGGTGTGCTGGCCAAGGTGCAGACTTAAGGACCAGACCGACGGAGACCAAACTGCAGCTTTGACTGAGGAACTTGGGCACGTTTTAATCTCGCTGAGCTCTAGCTCCTTGTGTATATGGGGTATAATGGTACCCACCTCACGGGGTGCTGCGAGGAATAGTCCAGTCAGGGAGACATGCTTGGCATGGCTGCTGGCACTTGGCAAGCCTGTAGCAAGCGGTAGTGGCCGTTGTCATTACCATCAGTCACCGCCACTCTCATTATTCAGGAACTCAGTCTGAGAGATTCCCATCTTGCTCCTCCCTGCAGTTTTTACCTTGTGCTGAACACGTCCTTGTGCTTGTTGGGCAGGAGTCGCAAAGACAGCCTGGAAGGCGACAGCTCCGCGGCCATTATTCCCCACGAGCTGATCCGAACACGACAGCTTGAGAGTGTACATCTGAAATTCAACCAGGAGTCAGGAGCCCTCATTCCTCTCTGCCTCAGGTGAGCCCCACAGCATCCGCATGGTCTGGAAAAGCCACCAGGCCAGGGCTTGCCATTTCCCCCATACCTACACAGAGTCTGGGGCCCAGACTGAGTGGGGAGAACCACTCAGCCAGTTCTGTCCTGCACCCGTGTGGGGGCCTCGGTACTCTGAGCTGGCCTGGAGACCCCACTGTGCTGAAGAACTCACCATATTCCAGGGAAGTGTCCCTCAGCCCTGCTTACCTAGGAAGGTTCAGTGACCTACGAAGACGCCCTGCCATCCCACAAGTCCAGAGTTAGGAGTGGCAGAGAAGGTTCTGCCAAATCGTGCCCATTTTGGGGCATTTGCCCTATTTTCCCCTACGTGCTACTTTTCCTTTGCCAAACATGCAGTTCTCCAAAACCGGTGGCCTATCAGTGGACTCCTTGGGGGACCCAGAAACCCTGCTGTGTCCCTTCTGCTGTCCACAGTGCCAGAAACCTAAGCCTGTGGCCAGAGTTCAGCTCTGCTTGGAGATGCTGTCCTGGGCTAACTCGAATGCATCAGACTTTCTCCACCACCCTCAGCGGGTCCACGCTCACTTTTAGCACAGGGAGGTCTATATGAATAATTCTCAGAGGACAGTGTTTAACAGGAAGAAGAGGGTTGAATGATTCTGAGCCCTTCCTAGTGTCTCCAGAGCCCGGGGAAGGAACTTAAATGGTATCCATCCTTGACCACTCACCCTCAGCAATAGGACAGGTAGGAAGTAGTTAGTGTGAACAGCAAGTAGAAGGACCACAGCCTGGACCCGTTCCTTTCCAGCTGCTTCTGTGGCCCAAACTCAGGGACTTTAGCCCGGCAAAGGGCTAATCCGAGGCAACCTGAGGAAGCAAAGAGCAGATTTTGCTTCCTTGCTGACTGGCATCTCTGCCCCACTGGCTGCCCTGCCTGCCCTTAGCCTAGGTGTATTTCAAAACTCAGAGTTAGCAGTAACTTCTTTTGGCTCTCTCAGAGTGACCCCACTTGGCTTCAGTTTTTCTCTTAATTTTTAAGATGTGTTTGTGGCCTTAGGGCTAACCAGTTAAATCTTGTGGCAAGACCCACGAGCAGGTGGAAGATTCTGCCCTGGATATGCCCTGGATGGCTGTGAAGGTACTGCCATCATCTCCCGGGGCGATGTGTCTAGGTACTGCTTTACTCACCTTGGCCACATTGCTAGTTGCCTTCTCTGGCCTCAGTTTCCTCACCAGAACAGGAAAGAAGCAGATTCCACTATCCTTATAGGCCTTTTGAACCCTAATGTAGTGTTTCTGCTAACTTCGAGCACTTTGGAAGAATCATAGTAGCTAACTTGGGAGAAGGTGTTGAAGTGAACATGTTGGACTACAGTCTTCTGTTAGTGGGCACAGGAGCAATCAGGAGGGCCTTTGCCACTGTCCCGAGAGCCGGGGCCAGGCGTGCTGTTCAACTGTCTCTCTCTTCTCACCCTAGGGGCAGGCTCCTGCATGGACGGCACTTTACATATAAAAGCATCACAGGTGACATGGCCATCACCTTCGTCTCCACCGGAGTGGAAGGCGCCTTTGCCACTGAGGAGCACCCTTACGCAGCTCATGGGCCCTGGTTACAAGTGAGAAGGCTCTTTTTCTTCTCCCCACCTTCTTTCTGGGGCTTTTCTACACCACACCCCCCTTTGCCTTCCCCTGGCAGTGCTTGAAGGTGCCCTTTTCTGAGGGGCTGGCTGTGAGATGCCACAGGGCACGTGGAAGCAGCTGCCTCTCCAGCTACCCGAGGAGCACTCCTGGTCTCTTCCCTTCTCTGTAACGCGACACAGCTCTCCAGGCATCTGCCATGGCAATTCAGGCTTAAGAGACAAAAGACGCTATGCACCCTGGGTAAAGCAAAGGACAAAAAATGGAGGGTGACACAGGTGCGCAGGAAGCGAGGAGACGCTCTCCAGTGGCTATATGGAAAGTCCACCAGAATTCCTAGAAAGTGGGCACTGGACCTGGACTAAGGCTGGGATGGGTAGGCCTCCGCAGACAGAACTCCTCCTTCCCTCCTCAAAAGGCTCTCCTGTTCTTTCTGAGGGAAACACTTCTCTGCTTGGACACCTGTGGCTTGTCCAGAACATTCTGTCCCTCCTCTGCTCTTCTGGCTGGAGCTCAGCTTAACTTCAGAGCCACTGCCAAGTGACCGTGCTGTGGCTTGAGAGCCATCGACCTCCTCGCCCTGGTCCTCCGCAGCTTAGGTGTAGGAGAAGAACCTCTTTTGTTTGTTTGTTGGAAGTGTGATAGAGAACACTACTTTTTACCTCTCTCAGGAGTATTCAAGAAAAGGAATCTGACCCTAATCAAAGGTGACCCTGCCTTGTTTGTGATATAAGGGGTGGGGGTGAGGGATTACAAAAGAGGGACGAGAACTGTGCTGATGTTTGTGGGCTTAATCTGGCGGAGGGGTCTGTGAAGTGTATGTCTCACTGACATGGGCGTGCTTTCTGCATGTTTGTGCTTGTATCAGTGCACTTGCAGTCCAGCTCCCCTCACCCCCCATTTCTCCCTGCAAAAATACTCTTAATTAAAACAAACAGCAGACAAAGGACACCAACCCACACACTCCCTGGACTAAGTAAGCAGAGGTAGAAATGGAAGCTGGTGCTTTAGGGATATTGTAGTCCATAAATTATTTTGCCTTTTTCCACTGTTGTTATTACATTGTTTCATAACAAAATTACTTTGAACCATAAAGTTATAAATACATTTTAAAAGTCCCACTTGGAAACATTAGATTTCTGTCCATGTGGTGTTGGTAGTTACTGCAGCAAAAGCTCTGGAGTGTTGGAGTGTAACAGGGAAATTAGACCAGTGCAAGTAGGAAGGGCCTTCTCCCCGCTCAGGCCTGTCCCGGGCAGGGCTGCTTGCTGGGCCGAAGTGGCAAGGAGGAGGGGAGTTGTGGGAACTGTGCAGGAGACGCAGCACCCCGCCTAACTCGCAAGTCATGTTCCTTGTAAACAGCAGTGTGCGTTCCTATATACTTTGTGTTAGTACTTGTATATACTTAAGCTCATTTTCTTGAGAAAGTAGGGACTGGGGTCTCTCCAAACTGAAGAAGAAATTCTACCCAATTACATTTCATATGCTTAACTGTGAACCTGTGCTTGAAACATCTTCCTGCCCTGAGGAGAGTGATCAGCAGCTCTCAGCAGCCTGGGAACCTTGGCCCCAAGAGGACTTAACAGATGCCATGTCTACTCTCAGCCCCCCAAGCCCCTTTGTCCCCTGACTGCTAGTGTTCCGTTCCACTCCCTGCCTCCCCGGCAGCCCCTCCTCAGTGAGCCTGAGCGCTCGTGCCCACTGACTTCAGCACACACGGTCCCTCCCAGGCGCTGTTGCCCTGGGAACCAGGAGCGGTGGGAACCAGCTACTGGCCTCAGCATGTTTCAATAAAGTTGCTGTGCTGGGAGCTGCTTAATCAAAGACCTATGTTATAAACTCATTAGTGTAGCCCACCACAGGGGCCAGCTCACAGGGGAGCTTCCAGGAAGTCTGGCTTGGGCATTGCTCCCCAAGTCTACACCCTCACTTTCTGAGCGGCTTCTCTGGTCCTTTCCCTAGGAGCCCTGCTCCTAACCAGCCCTCAGCTGTGGAGTTGACACCCACAGCAGCCCTCCTCCCTGCCCCCAGAGCAGTCAGCATTTTTTGCATCTGATTGCCAGTCGGCCTTCCTCTTTAGGTTCTTGTCACTGTGGTTACAGGCAGTTCCCCAGCTTGTGGGAATCTGGACTTGTAATTACTGGTGGATTTCTAGGTTTCCCTTGGGACTGGCTGTCTCCCCGGGCGTCTGCAGGACCTCTTGGAGGCCCCAGGTTTAGGCTCATGGTCCTGACTGAGGGTTCACTCTGCTGTGCCAATGAGGACCCAAGGCCCTCTGGGAGGACACCCCAAAACAGAGGACTTGTCCTTACCCCCTGCAGGAATCTCTTGCTCGTGCTGCCAAGATCAAGAGTGTCTCCGTGATCTCTGTGCCTAGGCCTGATGGGGACACAGAGACAGGAAGGACCTGAATGTAGCAGATCCAGAACTTGAGGAGATCCAGACTCTGTTCTCTGGGCTGCTGTGTGAACTCTCTGTTGGTCTCAGCTGAGTTGGGAGGGGCAGGGATGACTTTCTTGCATCAGCCTTCAGCAGCTTTGGAAGCCCTCACTCGCTGCCTTGGCACCTTGTTCTGGCTATCAGCCCAGACCTGTTATCTCTTGGGGAAAAGCATGGCAAAGACACCCCACATGTGGGAAGAGTGACAAAGGAGACTGAAAAAAAAAGGGCAGAAGATGAGTGAATTCGGGCCCTTTCCAGAGCTTTTGGAATGGTCCCAGACAGGCCTCCGTGCCCACCTAATTACTGCTGGATCAGCACTGCCCCTTCATGCTCTCTGACCCCCCACCTGTCCTGATACCCTTTCTCTCCCGATCCAAAGAAGTCAAGGTGCCCCAGCACACAGAGAAAACAGAGCCATCAGCAGCCGCAGGGGCAGTGTAGTGGACGTTGCCTGCTTCCCGAAGGCGCTGAGAGGCAGGAACCCAGCTCTGCAGACTTCTCAGTTTTTGGAGGTTGACACCTTGAGCCCACTTGCCCTACCAGTTGCTGTTCTCATGCTGTTTGAAATGGTGACGCCTATTAGCCCATTGCAGAGCTCTACACAGGGGCTTTGGACCCTGGGGAGCCCGGGGGGGGGGGCCTGCCAGCACCCTTGCCTGCACACCGTCCTCCGGGCATTCCTAACAGTTGGCTTTAACGAGCTTCCTCCCTTGAGTCTGTCAGCACTGGGCTGTCAGGCCTCTGAGCAGGAGCCAGCCGGAGCTGAGTCCTTCAACTGTCCCTAGCCAAGATTGATTTGAAGGAGGAGAAGTCAGCTCCAGAGGTCACAGAGGGGTCACACCATCAACTATGAGAATTTTTTTTTAAGCCCAGCAATGCTTTTTCAGCTGTGTGGTATCTAACAGCTCACCCAGGTGGTGCCCCCATTCCCAGCCATTCCCTGCCAGCCCCAATGGGAAGCCCCAGGCTTGGGAGAAGATACCCAGCAGCTTTTCTGAGTGGACTCTGCTGCTCCAGGCCATGTCTGGGGGATTGGGGCTGACTTAACCACTGTCCCCTGCATAAATCCTCCCTCTCTTGTCCTCATATAGCCATCTGTATGTTGTGAGGAAGACACTTAGCAGTCCTGGGCCTGGCCCCTGAGCGGCTCCTCTTCGGTCCTTCTGCTGTTCCTCCTTCCACTGGTGAAACTTGGCCACGACCTGTTCTCCCTGAAGACCTTTGCTGGGGTGGTTGTACCCATCAGGGTTTAAGTTCCAGCAAGATGCCTGGGGAAGTGCAGGACCTTCCCTTTCATGGGAGGATCGTAATAGCCTGCCCCGTGCCCTCAGTAATGACCAGAGTCTGAACCTACTTCTGGCTACCAAAACCAACTTCTCACCACCCACCCAACACAGGAAATGAGCGAGGCCTCACTGCCTCAGGTACTGCTGCGGTGCCTGCCTTACTCTTCTGAGGGGGGGGGGTGCTCCAGGCTGTTTCCTGGCTTTTGTCTGGCTTGGGGGAGGGGGTCACAGACTGGACTGTCTTCATGCCCTTGCCTCCAAGCACTGCCATTATGGGTGACAGCAGCTCTTTGGCAGGCCCTCCCCTGTAAACAACACATTTCCTTCCCTAAGAGAAGGAAAGAAGAGGGGAGGAGAGAGCCAAACTTGTTGGGAAGCAAGAACAGCATCTCAGCATAAAGAGCAAACAAGGCCCGGACAGAGTGAGGGTTGTCATACGAGGGAGGCAGTGGGCCCTGTCAGCCACTGTCTGCACACTCAGAAATAGCAGTGGCCACAGACATTTGAATCCGATCAACAGCAGCTGTGCCCCTGCCTGTAGCACAGCTGGGCCTGAGCAGGGCAGGCACTGATGAAAGATCACTTTTCAGGTTCCTTTCTAGAATTTGCTGGGACCTGGGAAATTGGGGGATAGTTGACAATTCTTCCTCATCACCAGCTAGCCAGGCTGTCCTAAGGCACCAGGGTATGGGTGCTGTGAAGTAAGCTACTGGCCTAAATTCCAAGCCCCTTCCCTGACTGTAGGTGAGGGCTGGGAGTGGAGGTGGGGGGCAGGGAACTGCTCCCCTCAGCCCAGCCAATGAGAAGGTGGTGGTGCTGTAGCCACCGACTCACCCGGGATAAGCCTGTGCCAAAAACCTCTTTTCCTGGGAGTCTGAGTATTTTCTAGCTCTCCTCCCACCAGAATCTCTTGTGGTGCCTTTTTAAAATGAAGATGCTTTAGCCCTGCTCAGGATATTCTGATTCAGAAGTCTGGGTTGGGGCCTGGAGCCTCCATAGGGGAGTTAGCGCTGGAGTGGATGGGCTCCTGCCCTCCCTGCAGCTCCTCCCTGCTCCTGGCTCTGTGTGAGTGCTGTCATCCCATTCGCTGTCACTGTCGTTTCTGTTGTTTTCTGGGCTTGACTAACCATAATATAAAAATGGATTCACCAAGCTGCCTTGGAAGTTTGCCTTCCTCTCCCTGCCTGGAAACCATCTTGAACATGGTTGCCTTCCATGCCAATTGCCCATCATGGTTTTTGGGCACTGCATATCTGTGACACTTGGGGCTCCCGCCCTCTTGTGCAGAGCAGGCGACTGGTAGGGGTGGAGACCGCTGGTTTTCCAGACATTTGGTAGAGCCAAAGTCACCTTCACCTCTCCTGTAGGCAAAGAGCAGCTGTACCACCATGATGTCAGAGCACTCTTCTAAAGACCACGAGATTTGACACTTGCTCAGGTGCAAAATAGTCATGACAGTACCTCCCTTGCATGGAAGATTCGATGACATGAAACAAGTCAGCACTTAGCCTCTACCTGGCACATGGAGGAGGCAGCGTGCTTGCCGTTGTGGAGGTAGCATTACCACCACCATTATCATAACCATTCCTGTTACCATTTGTGGCAGATCAGGCATTCTCATGGGGACCCGGTGAGCTTCAAGAGCCCCAAGCCCCAGAATTGCACAGGCCTTTCCCACAGTTGCATCACAACGGCGAGTCTGTTACTTGTGAGAGCACCCAGGAGCTGCTCCATCATAGCTGTCTGTCTTCAGTGTCCTGTTGATAAGATCTGTTAACATTCTCAGCTCCAGGTCTGAAATATACAAAGAACAGGGCCCGTTTGTTCCATCTGAGCTTCTAAGGTTTAACTCCCCGAGGAAATTAAATTAGGGGCCTGGAGCTATGATAGACTGTCATGTTTCTTTGCAAGGAATGTCACCCTTAATATCATACAGATCTCGTGTATAATTTTACCATATTAATTTTTTTTTTTTAAATAATAGGACATTTTCAACAGGACACCGGACAACCAAAAGTAGAAATTGAGGAACAACTAGGGTTTGTCCCGATTTTTGGTCTTGCTAACTCCCTCACCAACTGAGTGCAAAATCACAAAGTGAATCCACACACAGATGATAGTTGCTCTACTAAAAGCCACTATAATCTGCCTCCCACCACCAGTTCCAGACCTTTGTCAGGAACTGGCTTGAAACTGAGGCTTTGATGAAGATTGCCTGTCCTTTTGTTTGAAAATGGCTCAATGGGTGGCCCCAGTCCTGTGAACTTCCCCCCTTTTCTGCCTCCCCCAGACCCCTCACCCTCCACCTCACATCAGCACTAACTGAGGCCCCAGACCTATTTACCTCTTTGACGCAACAGAGTTCCTGCAAATTATTTGTGGGTCAGAAATCAGCCGAGCCTGCCCTGCCCTGGAGCCTTGTAATGTAATTGGGTTTTAGGTATGCTTGTGTTTGTGCTAGGTTCGCAGAGATGGCATCAAGCCCCGGAAATGCCAAAAATATGAATGTGACTTTTGTACTACTCAAGCAGACTGGTGATAACTGGTAGAGAAACTGGACTTTGGGAGTGGGGGGGTAGAAGCCCTGGGATCAGAGGAGGAGGAGCCGGGGCTCAGGCTCAGTCTGTGGGAGGATCAGCGGTGATCGAAAAGGGTCACTGGAGTCTGTGAGTAGGAACAAGTCCCTCTTCCAGGAGCTTGGCAGAAGTCTGGGGTGGGGGAAGGGCACTTCAAGTGGGCACTTCCCTTGTCCCACTTCACCTGTCTACACCTTGTCTCTGTTTTCACTTGAGACCTAGCGTGTCCAACAGAAATGGTGGTGGTATGCGGGCCAGTGTGATCATAGCTGTTTTGCTCCCGACTGGGGCTCGCAGCCTACGGTGGAGCCGTCCTCTGGCTCTCGAGGGAGGGTGCTTGTCTGTGGAGGGGAAAGGATGTCCTGAGCATACAAAGGAGCCCTTTATTACCCTTTGGCGTGTACCTGCAGCTGAGTCTCATTATAAGTCCCTTTGAGCGTGTGGGTGAGGACCCTGTCAGGCCACCCCGTTTCACACTGGAGTTGCCCTATAACGTGTCCGGATGGGAATAGACTGCCTTCGTGCCTTCTCCTCCCAGGGTGTGCTGTGGAATTGAGTGGAAGATGAATACATTAGTAAATGTCCTGGAGGTAAGATTTCAGAGTTTGAAGCTGTACTCAGGCACTAACTTTAGAGTCCAGATGTGCCTGGGATAAGGTCTTGTCTCACCCACTCATAAGCCATGTGACAGCAGACATTATATAACCAATCATGCCTCAGTTTTGTCATCTGTAAAGAGTCAAGATACATGAGCAGTTAGCTCAGTGCCTGGTATGCTAGTGATTTGTCTGCTACTTGGAGGTGATTTTCTCATTCTTTGTCCCTACCTCCACCCCATCCACTTGCCTGTGAGGCCTCTATTTTGAGTACTGTTTTGGCCATTTCACTTTATCTCGCAAGCTGACTAAATTCCAAATTTGGAAACTTCTGTTCTTATCAGAATAAACAACCCAGGGGAACCCTGATGGGTATTTCTCAAATTCTTGATACCATCCTTCTCATTTTGGGGGAAGGGGTGTGTTTCCCTCAGAGGAGCTCCTCACCTTGATCTTTACCCTAAGGTCTTTCCTCTGTGCCCTACCCAGATTGTTCAAAGTCTGTTAGGAGGGGGCAAAGTGGAGGGAGGTAGAGCCACAGCCTAGGAGGTGCAAAGTGCCTGCTGCGGAGACCCAAAGGGTGGGCCAGTGAAGCCTAGAGAGGAGGCCAGGCTGGAAGAGGGAGGGCATCCTCAGCCTGGCCTGGTGTGGTGCAGACCGGGGTGGCTCTGACCTGTCTCTGTGGACACAGCCTGAGAAAAAGATCATCAGGTTGAGGAAAGGCCTGAGAGTTCTGGACATTTGCATTTGCTGTACAAGCTTTTTCAGGGGGTGGGTGCAGTAGTTGTGCCAGCCAAGCAGTGGGCCTGGGCTACTTCAGACACAGAAATATGCAGTGACAAGCACTGGCCTAGAGCAAAGTGGGACAACCGTGAGGTGACCTGGTAAAGCGGGTTCTCAGAGGAAACCCGAAAGAACATGGTAGTGGGTGGAAATAGGAGTTGAGAGTACATTTCCCATCTGCAAAATATGAGCGTTTGGTGTGCCATTTCTAAATCATCCAGCTCAGACAGTCTTAGATGTACCTACTGGGACATTTCCAGATTCCAGACATGGCTTTATTCCAAATCCAAACAGATTCTTGTTGTCCTACTGTGTGTGTGTGTGTGTGTGTGTGTGTGTGTGTGTGTGTGTGTGTGTCTGTGTGTGTCTGTGTGTCTGTCTGTCTGTCTGTCTTAATGCTATATCCCTTTCCATGTGCTTCAAGGACCAACATTACCAACCATTAGAGCTCCCCACCTTGCTTCCCTCTCATTTTCTCACCCTTTCCTTCTCTCCTAGCCCCTCTGATTTTGGATTGGGGGGGTGGAGAGGTGACTGGACGAGGAGGGATGAGAGTGGGATGGCCCTTAGGGACAGGCCTTCAGGACCTCCTATGTCCCTAGAGCAAATCACAGAGCCCTCATCTCTCCAAGGCCAGATTCATAGCGTGGCAGTTGTCAGAAAGGCCATATATTTTAAAAATAAATAAAAGCCTGTCTCCCGCCTTCTTCCTAGATTCTGTTGACCGAAGAGTTTGTAGAGAAAATGTTGGAGGATTTGGAAGATTTGACTTCTCCAGAGGAGGTAAGCCTGTTTGATCTCTATAACAGTAGATTCTGGTCTGAAAGAGAAAGTGAGTATCTGTGTGTCTGTGTATCTGAGGTGTGGGGATACAGGAAAGGAGATCCAGGAGATGTTAAACAGCTTTGTTTCTCTGTCCCCCTTCCATCGCTCCCAGCCCTTGGAAGGACACCCCAAAATGGCCTGAATTGCCCGCTCCACAGACCCTCACCGAAGAGACACCAGGGCCTCCTCCAGCCCCTGCTGTTCCCTGGCAGGTTCTGAACAGAAAGCCCATGCCCGCTGCCAGAGAACATTCCACTGGGAGTTGTGGTGGGCAGTGAGGGACTCCTGCTCTTGCCTTGGGCCACCCAGGAGCCACTCTCCTTCCCTCTTCCAGCCATAAGCTCACCCCTTTTGCTCTGCCTTTTCCAGTCGTAGTCAGAGTCCAGAGAGTTGGCAGGCTGGGGGAGGTAAGGCCTGTGTCTTCCCTGGTTACTTCTCTGGGGTACAGGAATGGAATCCATAACCCCCTTTGTTTTCCTTCTTAGTTCCTGGCATCCTCGTTTGCCATCCTCATTTGAGGGGACTTACCTCATCCTGGAAAGTCCCTTACCCTCCCCCTCCTCCTGCCGCCTCCTCCTAAATAGCACCCCAGCGGGATTTGAGCCTTCCTGACCTCTAGAGAACTTTTCTGGACACCCTCCCTCCCCCTCCCCCAGCTGTGGCAGACCCTTCCCCTGTTCGTTTTGCTCCAAAGTATATTTGTGGGAGAGTTCCTTCACCTTCCTGGAGCCAGGCTTTCAATCTAGAAGGAGGGCAGGCAGAAGTTTCCAGCTGCCAGAGCTCCCACAGCCTCATTAGCCAGGACAGGACAGCCTCTTAACATTCACAGGGCGGGCCTGACCTGTCCAGGTCTCCAGGTGGACAGGAACTCCTTGGACCCCGAGGTCATCCCTTAGCGGGTGAGATAGTGTCTTCTCTGTCCTCTGGGATGTGGCTTGATAAATTAATTCATTTATACATTCAATAGTCATCAAACACTCAGTCTGTGCCAGCCAATCAACCCCCACAAGTCACTGGTCCCTGATGTCCGGCTCCCATTCAGTCAGACCAGAGCCAGCTGCCCAGAAGCGCTTCCGGAGAGGCCATGTCGCACAGGGATGGCACTGTGCCAGGCTGCTGCTTTGAGCTTGGACACTGAAGGGGTAGGAGGGGACAGTCCAGGCAAGAGGGACAGGAGCCAGGGGAAGCTTAGGAAAGTAGGTCACTAAAAATGACGGGGTGGGTTTTTCTTTTTTTTTTTCTTGCTTTCCTCTCAAGAGGCTATCCCCATGCCCTGCCCCATTCTCCACTTAGTCCTGCCTTGGACTGGTCCCCAACAGAAGGAGGGAGAGGAGCTAGCTAGGAAGAGTCAAAGCTGCCCTCTTCCATTCCCTACTTCAGGCAGCCCGAGAGCCCTGCTCTTCGAAGCCTCCTTTCCAGCCTGACCCCGGCATAGTAGGAGTCATAAAAGGCAGACCTATTTCCAGGCTTCCCTCATCGTTCAAATCAGTGAGCATCTACGGAGAGTCTGGTGCTTGCATTAGACCGCACATGAGGTCCTAGAATAAGAGGGTGTAAGATGTGGTAGCCCTTTCCCTCTGCCCTGCCAGAAGCTTGAGAAACAAAGCTAAGCAAGTCTGATTCTCAGGTTGGAGCAGGAAGATCTTGGGCTCTCCTGGGATCTCTGAGGCCTCTCAGACTGGCAACACTGGGAAGCAGATGAGGATGAACAAGGGGAGCAGGCGGAGGGGTTTCTTTCCTGAGGCTGTGCCAGGTCCAAGAAATCACTTCAAGCCACATTTGCCCTGCTCCTTTGCTTCCACAAAGTCCTTCTCTTTGAGCTTGGTAAAGGCCACAGAGAGCAGGTTCCAGGCTCCTTCATATCAATCTCTAGAGAGAAGCCGTGGCAGGACAGAACCGCAGTGTTGCTCAAGCCACTACCCTGTCGCATCTGCACCTTGCCCTGCCCCCACCCTCCAGCCCCTGGGCCTCAGGGAGCAGATTCCTGGCATGCTTGTGGCTGGAGGCTGAACCCAGGAAGTGAGTTGGAGGGAGGGAGGTCAGCACAGTCAAGAAAGAGTTAGAAAACATGCCTCCTCCAACCCCAGTTAATTATTGGCAGGACAAAGGGAAAGATGGGGTCACTGAACTCCAGCAGCTTGACACCCCCCCACCCCCCCCACCCCTGCTACCCACCAGGATCTAGCATTGGAGGTTGATGCCAGTCAGCCAGTGGCCTGTCTTGCCCCCAGCACCTGGCGAATAGGGTCTGGGTGAGCCCTGGCCTCTCTCAGGCAATCTGGGAAGATGGGATCTGCTAACTTCCTGCTCTCTGGCTCTGTGCTTGCTCCCTCCACAGTTCAAACTTCCCAAAGAATACAGCTGGCCTGAAAAGAAGCTGAAAGTCTCCATCCTACCCGACGTGGTATTCGACAGTCCGCTGCACTAGCCTGAGCTGGGCCCTGCACGGGCCGCGGGAGAGCCCAGCTGCTCCCCAGTGACTTCCATCACAACAACTGTGTAAGAGATCCCACAAGTAAGAGGGCAAGAGGATGAGCGCACAGCCACCGCACCTGCAGACACCGCACCTGCAGCCGCGGGGTGTCCTGCACAGGCCCGGCCCCACCTCGCCTGCAGCTCGGGCCTCACCTGCCGCTGGACCACGAGTGGGGAAATGCAGACCACCCTGCCCCTCCTGCTGCTGCCATGGGTTCTGGTTTGAGATTGACCCTGGGCCTCTGATGTGCCCCTAGGTGGAGACAGGCCTTGTTCTCACTGCTCCTGTCATGCTCCTGTCATGCAGCCTGGCAAGAAGGTGGTGTTCAGTTGTGTGCACTCCCAGCTCAACTGGGAAGCCTTTGCAGCGAGGCTCCTCTGGCCATGGAACAGTTCCTCTGCTGGTGTTTGGTTTTCTTCCTCTCTATTTTATTTTGTAGAAACCGGATGGTATTTTATTGCTCTTCAAAGATGTCCAGAAGCCATGTATATAATGTTTTTTAAACAGAACTTTATTCCCAGATACTTTCTCATTCTCTTAGAGGGGGGACTGGGGCTATGTCTGCCCCTGAGCTCCCACCTGAGAAGGTGTCAGTGTTCCGCTGCCAGGACCTTGGACAAGCTGGCTTCACAGAGAGGCTTTTCTCCCCTACTGGGCCTGGTGGAACCTGGGGAAGGAGAGAGCAGAGACATTCCTCCATGCAATTTAGCTAGGGCCAAGAAGGGTGCTGCTAGTTGCTAAGTGGATTGGGCCCCCAGAGAATTCAAGGACTGTCAATATTGTGGAGACTCTTCTTCTAGGACTTTTCTACCCAATGAGGCCTACCTGGGAGAAGATAAGGCCGAGCACCTCACAGACCATCCCTACCATCCAGTCAGGGTCTCATTTGATCTCTTTGATCTCTTTGGTCGATCTCTCTCTCTCTCTCTCTCTCTCTCTCTCTCTCTCTCTCTCTCTCTCTCTCTCTCTCTCTCTCATTATTTATGGCCTAGCAGTCTCTCAGTTACAGAACCCTGGCGCACTAAAAATGGAAGAATCAACCTCTTGACATATCTTTCACTTTGGTTTTGTAATCACTGCACTCTACTATCCCCTTGCATCCTTCATTTCTCATCTCATTCCCATTCCTTGTTCTGTCTCCTTTCTCGTGCTTCTTGGTCTCTGGCCTCCAGCAGCATAGATTCCATGGTCTTCCTGCTACATCTGATCTTACTGTCTTGGGCTCCTCTAGGTTTTCTTTTCCATAGCTGACCTGGAATCAGTAGGCCCCTCCTGTTCCCTCTGTCCCCTCTATCCTCCAATTCTAGCAACTGCTATTTCAACATGACTGTCTGGGCCTTTCCAAAACAAAGTCATTTTGTCTGTCTGGACCGTACAGGGCTCCTTACATGCCAGGACCACCATGGGTGCTGCAGGAGGCCCATTGAGTGCAGGACCCCTCTGATACAAGATCCAGCCAACAACTGCCTCCAGGGACCACCAAAGCAGTGGCTGGGCCCTGTGGGGAGCAGGAGTTGGACTACCCAGGGGCCAGTAGGGCCTGGCCCGTCTTGCACACACTCTCAGGGCTAGCCGGGTACCATCAAACTCAGAGCCTCAAGGCCAGTCAGCCTGCACTGTGGGAGAGACTGGCCCCGGGCGCCTCTGGCCAAGGTGCAAGCTCCTCTGGACCTGACGAGGACAGTAGCTCTGAGAACTTTTCCCAGCGGATGTTTCCTGGCCTTCATCTACCACAGCATTCCTGCCTCAGAAGCTCTTCAAACAGCTCATGGCCAGAGAAGTGCCATCAGCTTGTGTCCTTTTCTTGCCATCCTAACCTGCCTCTAGGAATTCTTTTCTTTCCAGGGTCCTGCCTCCTCCCACCTGGGCTGCCTGCTAAGAGGGGTTATTTTCTGAGCTGAACTTGGTCATCAAATGGGAGTTAGGAGGAAAGCAGGTGACCTCTGAGGTGATGAACCCACCAGCATGTCCGCCTTTCCCCACAGTGCATTGGCCTCTGGGGGAGTGGCAGGGCATCCCCAGGCTCTGACCATATTTCCTTTCCCTTTTGTGGTAGTCCCTTCCCAGAGCGTTCTCAGGGAGGGGGCTCTCCTCTGAGCTAGTTGGTGAGAGTGCGGCTGACTGTGCACCATGCCCAGCACAGCACCTGGCATATGGTGGGTGCTCCCTAAACATACACCTTTCCGTCCCTGCAGCTCTTCAGGAGCCCTGACCTCATAGTGAATTGGGGGTTAAAGAGCCTTCCCCCCAAAACTGCTTCTTCCAAGGACTTCCTTGAGGCTTTCCCAACCCTACCCCTACCTTCAGGTTCTTGGTGCTGATTCTGGAGCTTCCTTTGAGAAGGAAGCCGTTGTTTGCCTCTAAAGAGGCAGACTCCTGGGACGCCTGAGGCCCAGTGTCTGTTCCAGGAGGACTGCAGACCTGCCGTTCCCCAAGGATGTGGAGGCGCAGGTAAGGCCTCAGGACCGGGAGCCGGTGCCCCTTCCACCCTCCTTCCTCTTGCAGAGGTGTGGTGGCTTCACGGTCAGAACTGGGAAGCTTTAGGGAGTCAAAAAGGGCTGGAGCATTTTAAAAAAGTAGACACAGGGTCTTGGGACTGGGTTTTGAGATTGAATTGAAAATAGGGGCAAAACCTGACGGTCAGTGCCCCTGTGGGGCAGACCAGAGCAGAATTCCTTTGATTATTTTTTTATCTGGTTGTCTTTCCTCTCTGGCTTCCCAGTCGTGTGCCTGTAACAAGTCAGGAGCCCTGTAGAGACTCCTCCTTTTGTACAAGTACCTGAATGCTGTAATGAGCAGACTTTTGTAAAATTTTATATTAGTTTCTGATGTCAATGGCGACTCAGTTCCTGGGGGCTGCAGCCAACCTGGGACTTTTGTAAGAATTTTTGGGTGACTCACTTAGATGTTTCCTTCTTGCCTCCTCTTCCTCTGTGTAATCTAAGTGCATTAAACATATTTGCAGAAGTGCCTGGGTCTCGTGCTCCTTTTCCACTGCTACATAGGCTTAAAAGAAGCCTGGATGGGAAAAGGCCCCAAAGATTATTGTTGGGAGTTGGGGGAGCGGTAGTAGCCAGATGCAGGGTCGCACAGCACAGCTCAGCTCGTGACTCTTCAGTCAGGCAGAAATCACTGGGGAGGGAACAGGCCCTCACTCCTGATTTCTCTAAGGCCAAGGTGAGCTAGAGTGGGTGGGTAAAGGCCCTCTCTGCCTCTTCATTTCTCCTCTCACCACAAACCTTTTTTCCTATTGGGAAGATGGACCTTCCTTACCTTCAGTTTGGAGTCCGGAGTCCTTGTGCCCCCTTCCTACTACGGCCAGGGGATGGCCACTCCTCTTACCAGTTATCTAAATTCAGCCTCCTAATCCGGGCCTGGATTGAGGCAGGCTGCATGGAGCGGTAGCCCACACTTCTGTCAGCTCTTCCTTACGAGGATTACTGACTCCTCTCTCTAAGGCCTGGTGTGGCGAAACAGAGCCCTGTGTCAGAAGACAATACCCTGGGACCATAGAGGCCGCCCAGACGGGGTTTCTGGAGCCTGTGGGATTGCTCTTGGGTCCTTATTCTGCCTGGGAAATGGCAGGGCCTTTTCTCTTGGTCCCTAGAATGGAACTGCAGCACCAAGAGGGTTCTCTTGAGGCTGGTCTCCCAGGTAACACAGGATGGGGTCGGGACGCACTTCAGCTTCTTTTCCTGTTCTCTTTGAGGACTAGCTGTGTCTGGACCCTTCTATGGGAGCAGGCTACACTCCTCCCTCCCCTTGGACCTCCTGCTAAACTGTGGGCCCCATAGCAGCAAGGCAGCTTCTGTCTGGAACCGCTACTGGGGCCCTCTGGCATTCAGAGCAAGGGAGTGGGGAAGCTCTGGAGCCAGGCTGGCAACCCCATGTTGACCCAGGCCACCTTCTTCTCAAGAGATTAGGGTTGATGAATCTAATCCTCCAACTAGCCTGGAAGAATCCAGGGTCAGTGTGAAGATTTTGCTTCAGAGAGGGCAGAATAGGGAGATCCTGTGTTTAGGTTGTTCCAGGAAACAGGGTTACACCAGGGTTGTTTCTGGAAAGAGAAGGGCTCTTAGACCTAGAGCAGAGACCCTGTCCCTAGACTTAGGCAGGAAGAAATCTGTTTTGTCATCTTGCGTGTCCCGTACTTGCTGTGCTCCATGGGGCAGGGGAGGAGAGGAGTCTAGCTTCTTGGGTAAGGGGGCCCATAGACTCCAGGGTGATGGCTGGGGAGCCCAAGAGATTTGCTAAACTGGCCTGACCAGAAGGAGAATGCAAACTGGAAGTGACTCAACCCAGCCTGCCAGGCCTTGAGGGAGCTGCAGGCTGCAAAGGGGGAGGTGGTAGGGAAGCAGGAAGGGGAGGAGGGATTAGCTGGGCAGAGCAAGGGAAGCATGTGTCCCAGCTGGGCAGGTCAGGATGTGTCCGGGAGAGAGAGCCAGCCAGCCGTCTCCAGGCCCTTCCATCGGGGCATGATGGACTGACCCAGTGCCCTCTAACCCTTCTCAGTGCCAGGAAGTCTTTGGGGAGCAGCTCGGGGAAGGAGGGGAGGAAGAGCTAGATGACTGCCTGTGGGTGGGTGTTCACAGCTGATAGGAGTTTATCTTTATGAGTAACTTGAGGGGCAAGGGAGACTTGGAGGGGGCTGAAATGACAGTGACCTTACTGGGTCAGATACCGGAGGGCAGATCCTTTGTTTTTCTAGTTTGACCCAGCACTACCCCATACCTCACTCAAGAGGTACCATGAACACACTGAAGGGATGGAGAATGGGGCTTCTGGGTCACAACCTCTGAGAGAACAAGATCAACTGGGCATTACTGAACCTCCACAATAACACTGTGGGAACAGCAAGAACTAGAAAGTATGTTCATTCACTTGTTCTTTCAACAAACATGTGTCAGGCTCTCTGCTGTACACTCTGAGACTGGACACAGGCCTGGCCTGAAGGAGCTCACAGCGCAGTGAGAAGAAAGGACAAGGAGGAGACAAGGACAAAGATCAGGCAGAAAAGAAGGCAAGTGTGCTGCCGTCCATCCCACCCCAGCTACCCCCCGTCACCCCTGTTCTGGATGACTGATTAACTAACCTGGGCTCCAGTTTGTTCCCCTGCAAATAGGTACTTCATAGTTGTCTCAAGGATTATATGAGATAACATGTGACATAGTAATTACTCAATGAGCAATTTATTAACAGCCTCCCTGCTGGCCAAGGAGTTAAAGCAAAGCACTATGAAGCTCTCTGCAGCCACTGAGGCATAAGTTCAATACCTGGCTGGCCAGGGAGCTGACACACATGGTGTGGCAGACCTCTCCTGTCTCGCCTGCTGTTCCTTTCAGCAGTGTATTATAGTCAATCTGCTTGTTGTGTTGCCCACTCTGTCTCTGGTGAATCCTCTCACCCTCCTACACCTCTGGCCTGCACCCCAGTTCTTGTATGTATAAGTACTTTTTTTTTTCTTTAATAAAGCCTAAGCTAGAGGATGGGCATGCAAAAGGTGCCCCAACCAAGTCTGGAAAGATTAGGGCCCTCCCTGGTGGCGCAGACCTCTCCTGACCAGCCCACTGCTCTCTTCAGCAGTGTACTTCATCAGTCTGCCTGTTCTGCTCCCCACTCTGTCTCTGGTGAATCCTCCCACCTCCCCTGCACTTCTCACCTGTACCTCAATTCTGTATGCATAAATAAATCTTAAAAAAAAAAAAAAAGATAAGGCATCCTGAAAGAAGAGACATCTAAGTCAAAAGTTGAAGGATGCCTGAGGATGAATATTAGACAAAAGAAAACAGGGCTTTGATTTCAGAAACTGCCCTGGTAGAGCAACAAGGGCATAAGTCCCAAAACTGCTCAGGGAACTGTTCAAATTGCCTGGAGTGTACAAGTAGGGCATCAAGCTTCCATTTGGGAACCATTTCCCTGCCTGCTGAATGGAGAGTGCTTTGAAAGAAAGCAAGATTGGAGGCAGAGTGGCCAGTCAAACCCTGGGTTAAGTCAAAAGTAGTAGTGGGGGACCTCCCTGGCAGCCTGAGGGTTAAGTCTCAGTGCTCTCACCACGCAGGCCAGAGTTCAGTCTCTAGCTGAAGGGCTGAACAGACCTCTCCTGTCCCACCCACTGCACCTCCTGCAGTGTATCTCAGTGGATCTGCCTATTGTTGTTCTGTTCCCCTCTCTGTCTCTGGTGAATCTTCTCACCGCCTGTATCCCAGTTCTTCTTTGCAAAAATAAAATCTTAAAAAGTAAAAAAGAAGCAGTAGGAATGGATTTATTTATTCAACAAAATAATGAGCACTTACTGAAAAACCATTCTAGAAACCAGGGATATAGCACTAAAGATCTCCTTTCACAGCCAAAAAAAATAAAACAGAAGAACTAATAAGAGCTGTGGAAGGTTACATTTTTAACTCCAAAGTTCAGGGGAGACCTCACCGCACAGGGTGATATTTGAACAAAGGATCTCAGTGATAGGAAGATGTAATAGCAAAGGTCCATACAAAGTGAAGAGCACCGATAAAAGACCCTAGGGGGTAAGAGAGACACACCAGGTATATTTGAAGAGCAATAGGGAAAGCCAATGAGGTTGGAGCAGTGTGAGAGAAGGGGAATAATAGATTACTTATACAGAGGCCAGATTGTGTAGGACTTTGCAGGCAGTTGTAAAATTGTGGCTTTGGGGGGCCTCCTTGGTGGCTTAGGGGTCTTTAAGTCTCAGCACTATCATGTTGTTGCCTTTTCCTGGCCAGGTAGCTGACCCACATAGTCCAGCAGACCTCTCCTGTCTTATGTGCTCCCTACTCTGTCTCTGGTGAATCCTCTCATCCCCCAAACCTCTGGCCTATACCCCAGTTCTTGTTTGGTTGTTGTTGTTTTAAGATTTATCTATTTATGCATACCAGAATTGAGGTACAGCCAGAGGTGCATGTGTGAGAAAGAGGATTTGCCAGAGACAGAGTGGGGAACAGAACAGGCAGCTTGACTGAACTATACTGCCAAGAGGAGCAGCAGATGGATCAGGAGAGGTCTGTTGTGCCTTTTGGGTCACCTACCCTTCAGGGAATCGAACTCATGCTGTAGGGGCTGGGGATTGCTTCATAAATACTTAAACCTTTGAGCCATTGTGCCACCAGGGAGTCCCTATACATCAGTTCTGTAAGCATAAATGAATAATTAAAAAAAAAAAAAAGCTGTCATTCCCCCCCCCTCAGTTGATATGGGGAGCCACTTGAATGGAGAACTGATTAAAAAAAAATTACTTATTTGTGCATGTAGAACTGGGGTATAGGCCAGAGATTTGGGGGATGAGAGGATTCACCAGAGACAAAATGAGGAACAGACAGGCAGATCTACTGAACACACTCCTGAGGGGAAGAGCAGACAAGACAGGAGAGGTCTGCTGCGCCATGTGGTTCAGCTCCCTGGCTGGGGATTAAACTCAGGTTGTAGTGGTGATAGTGCTGAGACTCAACCCCTAGGCCACCAGGGAGGTCCAGAGGACTGATATTTTTAAAGAATTACTCTGGCTACTCTGTTGAGAATTGACTTCATGACTTAGGGGCAAAAGCAAAGAAACTAGTTGGGACCTACTGAAACAATCCAGGCTAGAATTATGGTTAAATAATGGAGATATTAAGTAGAAGGCAAAATGTGCTGAAGGGTTCACTATGAGATGCTCATAGCAAAACAAGACCGACCAGTGGGGGAGCAAAAATTAGTATAGTTTTGACAATTTTGAGTTTGAGATGTGTGTTGTACCTCCAAATGAAGATGTCAGGCTAACAACCAATACATAAAGGAGTGATCTGAGCAAGATTTCAAAGATGGATCTACAGGCTTGATAAGAGACTGAGAGATGTCACGTTGCCTCTCTGACTTAACACAGTGGCTAAGAGGTCTGTTGACTGAGATAGGGAAATGGAGAGGAAAGTTGGAATATGAGAAGGATGAAGTTTAGCTTCCAATACATTGAATTCAGTGTACCTGTGGGATACCTGTGTGCAGCCCATCTTGTATTTGTGTGTTAAAATGTTTTGACAGTTCAGAAAGATATACTATATACAGTGATAAGCATATCTTGATCCAGTTTGTCATTCTTGTTATTTGCAGGACGCCTCCCAACCCCATATCTAATCCTATGTAGTCCTGTTGGTTCTACTTCCAAAATATATCCCAAACCTGATAGCTTCTTACCATCAGTTTCAAGTCTAAACTTATCAAGACCTCCAAGGCCAGGTGTCTTAGGTCCCTACCTGTCTTCCCTCACACTGCACAGCCTTTCTCCTGCTGTGGAGCAAGCCTTGCCTATTGCTTTTACATCTGTTTTTCCTTTACTGAAGTGTTCTTCCTCTGGGTTTGCAAGTTGGTGATTCCTGAACATTTAGGTCTGAGCTTAAAAGTCACTTTTTGGAAGAGCTCTGAGTATAACCCTTACTGACTATCACAGAAACTGCCCTACATATTTAACTCAAAAGTGTTTTTGTACATGTGTTCCAGGGACTCCCCAGGGCCTGGAAAAATGCCTGGCACATAAAGGCTTTTGTTACATATTTGTTAACGGACCAATTGACCCCTGGCAGATTGCGTCAATTCTTTAAGCCTCCGTTTCCTTAACATAGAAGAGGATAATAATACCTACCTTGCTCGGTAGTTTTAAGGGGAAATTACTAAGGACATCAAGAAATTGCTGCACAGTGAACCTTGGCCATTCCCCGCTCAGTGCCATCGGACAGATGCGCAAACTAACAAACCTTTCTTTCTCTCGTAGGTAAAAAGAGCTGCGGTTGCAGAGGCCCAGCAAGAAATGGTCCCATTCCGCAGCTGCAACATCGCCCTTTTAAGAGGCGCAGAACCCCCACCTTCCACCCCAAAGTTTAATGTACCGGTGTTAGTACAAGTCACGTGAAACTCTCCGCTTGCTCCGCCTTAGAGAGGCGGAGCCGCATAGTGAAGGCCAATAGCAGGAGCATTCTCTGGACCAGCCCCAACTCCAGACAGGGAATAGGGGAGGAGCCGGGCGCCCGGGCCGCGGTACCGGCACTTCCGGGCCGCACGCCCCGCCCCGCCCCCGTCCGTTTATTTCTCCCGAGCTGGGTGGGCAGTACTAGCTAGTGGAGATTAAAGGCGCCGCCGTCGCGCTGCCGCTTTCTCCTTGCTTCCCCCTCTCCGTTTCCCCGCCCCTTTCCAAATAGCGGGACCGGCCTTGATGTGGGGACACCACCCTCTTCCTCTCTACTCCCCAGCTCTGGAGTCCGGCTCCCCGCAGCCCCCTGCCCGCCTGCGTCCCCACCCTACCGGCGGCACTCTGCTCCGAGCCCATTGTATCCCCGCCTCCCTCCCACCCCCAACCCCGGGGCTGCAGAACCTGAGCCCCGGCTGTGGCGGGAAGATCGGGGACCTCTGTGCGCCCCTCCAGCCGGTCCGGCGAGCCGGGCCCCTCCCCCGCCTGCCCTCCCAGCAACAGCGCTGTGGGGACGAGGGCGCCCTTCCTCTCGGTCTAGGAGGAGGGGGCCGACTGGCGGACGGCAGGAACGCACCCCCCTTCCCCTCCAGCACCAGCAGCGAACCCCCACGCCCCTTTCCTGGGGGAAGGAGAACCGGAGCTCGAGCGAGCCGAGGCAGGAAAAGGCAGCCGCGGACTGCCCAACCCGCAGATCATTTTTATTATCGAGATTATTATTAAAAGGGGGCGGGAGTCCAGGATGCGGGGGTGGGGGCTAGCGACGCAGCTATTTTTATTAAACAGATTATTCCTGAAATAATAATACGCGCAAGATGGCTGAAGGTGGCTATGATGAAAGTGTTGGGGTTTTTTCTTCCTCTTTTTTTTTTTTTTTTTTAATCTGAGGATAAAGCTCTGAGGCGACAGCCGCTGCGGAGACCCTGCCCGGAGTGCCCTCCTCTCAGCCGAGAAGCTGCGGGCGGACAAACGGACACCCAGATCGAGCTGCCGGCGTGGGCCCGCCCCGGACGCGTCGCCCGGGCAGCCGGGGTCCGCCGGCGCTCTCCTTTCTGCAGACTTCTTCCAATTCTGATCTTTTTTTATTTTTTTGGAAAGGACCGGGGTGGGTGGAGCAGAGGTGGAAAGAAATCGGGACTTGGCATTTTCTCCCCTCTCTCTCCCAATCTGAGGGAGGCCATCAGCCCTCCCCCTTAAAAAAGAATCCCACCAAGAGAAATAGAAAGAACGCTGCAGGACCGTCGAGCGAGCGCGCTCGGATCCCCGGCCGCCGCCGCCGCCGCCGCCACCGCGCTCGCCGCCTGAAGCCCAAGATGGCTGGGCGCTGAGGGAAACGGCCTGGCCCGGCTGGCTCGGCCCGGCCCCGCTGCCACAGGCTGGCTCCGACCGCAGCCCGGAGCCTCCCAGGCCGG